GGGCCGCGGGGGGCTCGGACTTCGGTTGCAGCACGGCGGCGCCGCGCTCCGAGAGCGGCTTCCTGCCCTACTCAGCCGCTGTGCTTAGCAAGACCGCCGTGAGCCCGCCGGACCAGAGGGACGAGGCGCCGCTCACCAGATAACTACGTCGCCGCCGCCAGGGGGCCGTGCCCGCCACTCTGTGCCCGGGAGTCCCCGAGCGCCCCCCGCGCCCTCTGTGCGCCCACGTGCCCTCTGCGCACTGCCCGCTGCTAAAGCTGCCGCCAGGGGGCGCCCCGGCGCGGGAGGCCGAAGGGAACCTGTCCCGAATTGGGGGGCGCGACGGCCCTGCGGGCGTCTCCCCAAATTATTTCTATTTTTGTATTTACTATCCAGCCGCCTCCCCTCCTTTAAGTATGCTTCCCGCCGCCCAGGCCCCGCTTCCCGCCTCTGTCCTGAGCTCTTGGTCTCCCCGAAGACAATCCCCTAGCCCCCACACTGGTCCTCTGGGGTCTCCGGCCCTGGCTGGCAGCCCTCGGGCCCAGATGACTCGGCTGAACCACGTGGCCAGAAGCAACGGAGAACCACAACAAAGAGAGGGGAATGGTGTGCACTAGTGCTTTGTGCGGGAGGAAGAGTCACCCCCGAGGTTCCTGCTGCTGCTCTTTTTCTTCCATCCTTTCTTTTCTTTAAACGAGGGTGAGGGGAGGTGGCAATTTTTCTCTCAGCCTGAGCTTGTTAGGGGCCCTGTCCGAGGAGAATGGAAGAAGGGAGGTCTGAGGAGAATGCCAGGGGAGCGGACGGAGAGCGCGGGCGGCCGCGGGCGTGTTTGTGAGATTGTTTACTGTGCGGGAGCAAGGCTGGTGGGTCTGCGGCCGCCTTCCCCGGGAAGGACAAAGCCGAGGTGGGAAGGGGTGGCTGTCTAGCCTCCTCTCTCTCGGCCCACCACCGTTCTCTCTTTTGATCTTTGGTTTGGGACGGAGGCGTCTTGCTTATTTCATGCAAAAAGTAATGGCTAATGAGGTTGCCACAGCCAGGCCAGGAAAGGAAAGGGAAACGAAAGGAAGGGGAGGGCAAGATTGACAGACTGCTGTAGTATTTGAAGAAACGTTTTCAGCTGAGTTTTCCACCTACCAGGTTCCACTGCATCTGGGAAATACTTGAATCTCTAGATAAATGATATTATCCTGAAGCATTTCCTTAGACACTTTTCTGAGTTCTAACTCTATTCCTCTCACCCCTTCCCTCCTCGCTCTCCTTTTCCTCCGGTAAAATGGTTCTTGGCATATTTCTCACGCATGTCTATTGCGCCTTCGCCTCTGCAAAGCCACCGCTGGGTTGTTGAGACCGGCTCTGCCAACTCCGGCTACTGGAGGGGTTTGCTTGAACTTGAAGAAAGGCACATCAAAACCCACCAGTGTTAACTGCCACGTCAATTTTGATGCTAATAATGTGCAGATTATGACGAAAATTGCCAATCATGCTCTCTGATGGACCTCCTTTGAATGTGGAATTGGAGAAAACTTCCCCGCACGGAGACCTGCTGTCAAGTACTAACAACCCGCTAAGGGAAGTCATTAGGAGAGACGGATAAGAGACTCGGTACATAAAACATTGTTCTTGGTGCATAGAATGTATGTTATTTAATGTTATCTCTGTTACCTGAAGTGATTTCGCAGAAGAAAGCCACGTTCTTATCATCTCAATTGCCAATTTTCATTTTGGTAACTTGGACGCCCTGGGCAGACTTTTCTCTGTTAAGTTGATATTCCACCAATGTGAACAGCCTCATTAAATCAAGTCCAGATATTTCCATAATGCTCCCCGCAGAGCCACTTCACTTCTCACATAATGAGATTTTCTGAAGAGTTGAAGCCCTAAAATAACTTGCTAGTGCATGTTTAGACTCAGCGAAGTGGGTATATGTGTGTATTAAAATGTAGGTGCACTACCTACACATTTGTGTGTGTATATATGTATGTATATATGTATATGTATGTATATACATATATATTCCTTCTCTTAAACATATACATATGTAAGAGACACACACACATATAAATATATACCCATTGGCACTATTTTCTGTGATTTATTTCAAATTTGTTCTGACATATTTTCATTATTTTAAAGACACTGGATTTAAAAATATTCATTTCCTAAGAATAGGCTTTCAGGAAACTTTTGAAAGAATTCATTTTCCAGGAGAAATGATTTTCATCAAGTGGAAAGTATTTCAAGGGGAAACACTATTTCAAAACTCCTGGGGTCTATTAAAATATTCCCATAAAATATTAGAGAACTTCCTCATGAAATAGCAATGATCTAAAGCTCAACTTTTTGTTTTCTTTTTTCTTTAAAGAGATGAGACTACTTATGTTAAATGTTGATTATACCAGCTCTTACTGAGTTTACATTTAAAAAATATTAATATATAATTTAAGGCTAAATAAAATAAACCAAAATATGGTATCCTTTTTATCAGCTTTACCTTTGTAGATCGTTAAAGTCCTTTCTTACGATCAGCTATCAGATGTATATAAGGTACTTTAGGCAATAATGTTTACATTTCTCCCCAAAATATATATGATTGATGAGAACGCTGGTTGGTAAAATTAACATAAATTCATCTTATGTTAGGTCCATTGGATCTGGTTATTATATTAAAATAAAACTGTAAATAAAGTCTTTGTGCTTTAAATATTGCTGGCTGTATGAACTCACTGTAAGATATTTTACAAATGTGCAATAATTATAAAGCTTTGTATATTACGTTATTTATTGTGTTTGGTCATGTAAAATAAATGTTATTTAAATCAAAGCGATTTTATTTGTTTAAGAGATTGCAAAACGGTGCGTACTGGTGTTTGTTTTTAACTGTGGCATCCAGGGTTA